TTCTGGCAAGTGGAGTTCACCCAGTGCCTTGCAGAAACCCTTCTCTTTGCTGTATCTTGCAGAAGACCACTGACATCTCAAAGTTTATCTGCCCGTGATGCTCACAAATCACTAAGCAGCAGGCTAGGGAGCTCCACGCCTCATCCCAGCTAACAGTAGTGTCGTCTCAGAGCTGTGGACAGGCTCTATCATTTAACCAGGGTAGAAAGATTCTACTCATTTACTCATTTAAAAGCTTCTCAAGCTTTTAAACTCAAGTGTAATAGTGCTGCGATAAAAGGCTAGAGTCCACATGAATAGTTAGGACAAATTTGCATCAGTCAAGTCCAGGCTTGCTGCCTGTTCATACCGAAAATCTCCAGTGACTGCTCCAGTTCTGTGCAGGAAGCATCAGGAGTGCAAAGTTAACCATGCTTCCATTCACCCTCCTGCATATCTGTGCAAGCTCTTTGGTACTTACCCAGAACCAGTTGCCTGAAACCAGCAATCCTAACCCAAATTTACACCCACTGTGCTGCCTCCAACTAGAGAGGAGCTTAAATGAAGATTTGGAGAAAAATTTATGCTCTCAATCCAAAAAAAAACAGGCCAGTGCACAGATCCCAGACTGGCACATGTAGGCAAAATTTTAGTGGTGTCCCTGACAGTTTTGGCCTGTGCCAACTAGCTGTGTCCCAGATGCTGCTCAGATACCATATGTGGGGATGGGATCATTCCCAATACATAGCTCACATGTGGCCCCTGCCCTGGGGAGCAAGTTTGGCTGCCTAGAGCTTTACCGGACCAGCTGGCTGCCATGCTAGAGAAGAATCTCAGGACAGTTTTACTCACTGGCACAGAAATGGCCGAACAGAATGCCTTTTAGTGATGAGCTCAGGACACGAGAACAAATTACAACAATACTTACAACAAAAATAACAAGATACTTTAGAAGATCCTGATGCTATAAACTGCCTGCATCTGGAAATGCCTTAGCTACTCTAGGGGTGGCTAATGACAAGTCACAAGAATAATATAATTTAGGAGTCACTTCTACTGCACTGAAAACCTCAACAGAGGTTGATGGTAAGGAAATTCGGGGTCTCTGCAGGTTTTATTCTATGCTCAGTTTCTTAAATCCTGGTAATATAACGGTTACCTTATCAAAATGAAGTACTTCATGGTAAGTAATTTAAATATGGTTTATGATAATAGCTCCCTGTCCAGTAATGCTATCAGCTGGAAGGAAGACCTATTCTTGCCTTTTGAGATGGAAAAATGGGCATTCTGCATCCATTTCTTCTGTTAGTCCATTTAGTGACAGAGGAGAGACAGAGTGTACACAGATTATTGGTGTCTGACCATTTAAGCCTTTTGAAGCATTAGCATAACACAGAAGGAGATCTGCTTTTCAGTGCAGACAGACATAGAAGATTGGAAGTAGCTTGATTCAGAAGGAAAAGGTCTCTCAAAATTAAAAAGCCAGACTTCTTAGTTCTGCCCCAGTACAGAGTTGATGGAGATATTCTTCACCTAAATCTACATTTAGTTGTATTTTTGCATCCCTGGACAATTTTGTAAATTTCACATATACAAAAGGGCCTCATTTCCATAAAATAAATAAGTAAAGCGTATGTAGAAGAGAGGAACTGTATGTATGGTATGTGATATATTAAAAGAGGGAGAAAAGCAGGTAGTCAATCATATGTGCACTGCGCCAAACAAACCTCTACTGCTCGCCTCTGTTCCCATGTTCTCAAAGAAGTTTTCAGTGAGAGTTGGATAGTGGAATCTGGCTTTTCTTGCCCAACTAGTTGGCAACACTAAGAAGTTCAGTACTCACTTCATAAAGGCAGATTCTTACTTACGTGTAAGCCTCTTTTCATCAGTTTGCACAATGGGAGATTAAATTCAGAGTACACATACATGCAACTGAACTGCTCTTGCCCCAGAAAGCAGCCTTTGAAGTATTTGCATTACTTTGTTGATAAAGACTAAGCACAGTATTGCCTGGAGAAGATAAAATACACAATAAATATGCTCATGTTAGAAACGTGATTATGTAACTGTGTTTTTACTGCTTCTCCCAAGGTCGGTGCAAAGCAAATATAGATATGTGCATCAGAATAGTGTTTTTTTATTGCCTTCATATCAAAGCATAGTTTGGTCATGACAGCCAAGTATATAATCAGAAATAGGATTATTGTGCAAGGCAAAGAAAGATCAATGAATTGTCCTGCTAAACCCTTACTGTAGGTTTATTATAAATTTCACATTTTTTCCTGCCTGGACCTTCACATCTGCACATTTCTTGCCTGTAAGGAGCTTTCTGCGCTTTGAGGAGGACTGAGCCCCCATGCAACACCGAAGTTGCCCCTTTTGAAGGGACACAGGGGCTCCTGGACCCTGTAGATGTCCATGCTCCAGTCTCAGCACTGCACTATATCTGCAGCACCTCTTACTATTAGCAATGAGCTACGATGGTGCTAAAAAAATAAACGATGTTCTTGCCTAATTAAGGTTGATAGACACATTCAAAGCAGCTTTTCGAAGTGGCCCAGAATAAACAGTTCTCTCCCAGGTCATCCTGAGAACAAATTCCTCCTATAACAGAACTCACTGCTGAATAATACAAGAGTTGAGTAGGATAGTCACTTCCTTGACAAAGAGAGCAGAGATGATCTGTGCGTGGACTAACATGCAATGATTTGAGGAACAGCTGAGGTCATGTGTGTTAAAATTTGGCTTCTAAGGATGAGGGGTGAGGCAAACTCTTTCTGTCTCTTACCAGAAGGAGGATTGCATTTCTGTTCCATCTACTCTTGTGTGTGAGCTTAGAGGTACTCTGCTGCAGTGTGGAAATTGGTGTGAAATGGAAAGCAGTAGCAGATGAAGGAATTGGAACCTGCAGCATAGCCACAAAGTGGCTCCCAGTTCTGCAGTAAGGGAGTAGGAAGGGAGGCCTAAAGCTGGATACTTTGTGGTTGAAGGTCAGACCTTGACACTTAAAAGTTTCCATGACATACCAAAGGTGACATTGTCTTTTTTGGATGCCAGTGCCATATTGGGAGCTGATATATTATGACTGATTATCCACCATTTCCTTCAGTTCCTCCTCCTCAGAGTTCCTTCTTCCCATTCCAGTCAGAATTTAGCTGTACAGAATGCAGCTTATTTATTCACTCTCAGCATGCATTCACATCAGATCACTGATTTGTGCCCTACCCACTCCTTACTGCCACTTTATCTCTTGCAAACTTTAACAATTTTCTTTTAGTCCCATAAAAAAGTCAATCAGCAAAGGACCAAGGATCTAACTGCTGTTTCTAACTATCTAACTAGACTCCTCTCAGAGAGGATAGGAGGCAGACAAGCATAACTTGTAGCGAGGGAAATTCAAAATAGCTAAAATTAAAGAATGTTTACAGCGGCCCTGGTTGAACACTGGAACAGGCTGCTCAGAGAGGCTGTGGAATCTCTGTGTTTGAAAATACTCAGAATTTGACTGGAACTTGTCGGTTTCACAGAGGTTGTACTTTCATGCTACATAGCTGAGGATGGCCCTGCACCATCCTCATCCTATCAGCCTCCACCAAGCACACCTACTAAAACAACAGGGCTCCATCTAGGTACAGGAAAAGGTAACGACCCATTTCTAAGTCCACAATTAGCCCTTAAAATAGAAACATCTGGGTTTTCAGTTGTACCAACTCATATTGCAAATGCTACATCAAAAAAAGATGGAAAGGAGGCAAGGGATGCCTATCTTCTTCCCTTTTTTATTTTTTTTTTTTAGTGACAGAGTAGCCATAATTTGACTTTAAAATCAATCTAAGAGCACAAGATAAATTATTCTGTATGAACAGGAAGTACACATAAGATATCAGCAATGTATAGTCTTTGTGGGAGATTACTACTAACTATAGGAAAATCCTTGAGAGACTGTGATAAGGAATGCTAGGGAATCAAACCCTTTTGTCAGTTGGTCAGACTAGTTTTGCCTGAATTTGTCTCCCTCCCGCTGTCTATCAATAAATATTCTGCATATCCTCTTTGCTTATCCCGACTCGAAGGTTGGTAACAGAACTGAAGTGCCTTAAAAGCATCACTAAAACCAGCTAACGATCAAGGTAATTACTGCTAGAGTTCTGTGTAAGGACTCAGGGATACTCAGTATAAGGATATTTCACACGTTAGCTAGTACAGACCAGGAAACTCCTGCAGATGGATAGCTTTTAAGATCTCTTTACTTTCCATTGGGCTTACAAATAGGTTGGATCTAAACTCCTCCTCCTGCACACTTCTCAACCTATAGCTAAACAAGGCAATTAGCAATGGCATTAGGGGTTGGCAAAAATCTTTCTTGTAAACTGTAAACTGTAACAGGCATGAAATCCTACAGTAACATTCTACAGAGCACCTTTTCACAGCATAAGTGCAATTTGCCCAAGATGTTTTCAGTTCCACTGTCAAGCCATTTGCTGAGATTACAGACTAAAAGAAAATAAATGAACAAATTTTTATTTTGACAACTAATAGAAATTAGACCAGGTTTGGGAGTGTTATCTCCCTTTCACATCTATATTTTTTGGTTTCTAAAAAAAAAATGAAATGACTTTTCATGAATATGCCCATAGCATGTGGGGGTAACAAAACAAAAACCAACCAACCAACCCTTTAAGCAAAAGTATCCCTTAGGAGGGGTAAAAACAAAGTTCACAAGCTACAAACTTCATTCATCAGCTGAAGACAACATGACCACATAAGAATAAGTTTATTCATTAGAAAATGTCCTCTAAATACAGAAATTTTAGCATTACACAGCAATGATATTTGTCATTCAGATTCTGTATTTTTTCCTCAATTAAGTTTTTTCTTAGTTATGAAGGCAAAATGCAGACAATTCAGGCAAATCATTAATGCCCAACAGACCTGAAAAGAGAAGCATCTTCCTCCTACTTCTTTTAAAAACTACTTGCTTCATTTTCCTACAGTTGCATCAGTTTCTTTAGCCAAGCAGAGTTTTAGGCAGACATGCTAACTTGCTCTCATATCAGTACATCCGGAGAACTCTTCTCACAGTCTCCACATATTTATCATCAGGAACAGGTTTTCTCTGGCTTCCTGGCTCTAGAAATTTCTTGATTGCAGGGATACTGCTTATATTTGCTTTAAATGCCTAAAAAAGGTAAACAAGTACATGGTATTTAAAGATCAGAAGGTAATTCAGGAAAAACAAAGTTAGACTCATTTGTGCAAGGGTTTAACTGAAGATTGCACTATTTATCTGCAACACAATCCAAAGACTGTCTGTGCTTAAGGCTTTTGTCCAAGACTGACAGAGTGATACTTTTCCCCTCAACTTCTGCACCTTTGTGTTTGTGAAATGACTTTCTCAGCTGCCTTCACATCATGCTGAGCAGAAGGGGACTGTTCCCAAAGCAAACAAGGGGGTTTCACTGGAAGAGACCCCTACCAAGATAACATGTGCCCTGCTCATGCAGGCAAATGCTTTCTCAAAGCACAGTGTGGGGACGCTGTGGAACAGCATACGTCAAGCGGCAGCACTGCCAGAAGTGATTGAAGTGATAGCAGAGGAAGAAATAGCAAATACCAAGGTTGACGACACCGCTACTAGTGAAGCCGATATTTAAATACAGTAACTAACTGCTGCATGTTTAAAAGGGTTTGTTTGATTAAGTCTGATTATAATTTTAATAATTTTAGGCATGGAGGAAGTTTACTACCCTTTACCTCAACCTCATATTTTTAAAAACTTAAGAAAAAAGGGCCTCTTCTTGCTTGGATGAAGAGGAAACAGTTTTCAGATGCATGTACTTTATACAAACCACATCTTGTGATCTGCAAAACAGTTTCTACTGAAAGGCATCACAGAACTAGTGATGGGATAGAATATAAAAGTAAAAAAGTCAACAGGGTAGATTTCTCCAGATCTAAACAGGAATTATTCTAAAAAAGAATGCATTCTCCACATGAAACCTAGTAGGAGGCTCCTCCTAACAACAGCAGAACAGAATTAGAATGAAAGAGGTGACAAACATGGAAAACAGACTTTAAAGACCGCTTCTCACAGCCTTGTGAGCGTGGTGTTAGTACAGTTACCTGTAGGTGAGGAAACGCTGAGAGAACATCCGACTTCTTCTCTTCTACCATTAAAATGGCTTCGAGAAGGTGAACATCTGCCCAGCTAAGACGGTTGCCAACCAGAAAGTCCTGACCATGATCTTTCAAAACCTACAAGTGTTACAAATGAAAACGTTTAGATGTGGATACGGAAGTCCTGGCTGATGTTTTCAGAATGCTCAGGTACACCTTCCTTTGCAACACTTCTGTGCCTACTCTTCTGACCTCTTCCTCTTTCATCTAAGTAGGGATATTGTTAGTCTTGGAGATGTCAGTTCAGTTCCCGCACTCACTGATCATTTTATAGAGTATTTATGAGAAATCATCACAAAAGTGATCTAGAACCCCAGGGTTTCTCTTACCCAGCTTTATTTCCTTCTATACCTATAGGTAAACCTAAATTCCAGATTCTGGGGTTAGATAATTCCTTGATTTTCTCTCCAATCACTTTAATAGATCTTAAAATTTCTACATACCCAACTTCAATAGGAAAATGAGTAACGTAAACCGAGATGTGATGAACACAAACATTCCTGGCAAGACACACGAGTGGAGCACAGGGGAGAAGTGAACTCCAGCCACCACGCTCAGGAAGAACGTTTTAACCAACAAGCTCGGATTTCAGTGGGAAATGCTCCTCCCTTCAACCTGTAAAACAGTGAGCAGCTATTCCTGCCAGTTCATCCTGTCTGCGCTTACTGAGTCTGCACTGAGAGCACCTCCTGGGCCCTGTCTCTCTGAGCATCCATCACAGGGACACCAAGATCCCCGTGCAGCTTATCCAGCGCACCTGGTTCTGACTCAAACTCTTCAGTACCAGGAGCTGCTCCTCCACTTACCCGGGGGACTTAAAACCCTGGGAATTCCTGAGACTCGCTGTGTTACTGCAGTTAAAAAGTCACTTAGATGCATCTGAGACTTCAAATGTATTGCAGTTTTAAAATAGTTAATTGTCATAACTTTGCAATGGCAAGTTATCCAGTTTTCTTTTTCTTAAAATGGCAACTTCCTGTTTTTCAGACTTCACACAGGCATATCCACGTGCTTGTTAGATCATCAGACTTTTAAGCCGCAAGGAATATTTGAATCCTTCAGTCTGAATGCTGATACTGCTCAGCCAGTGGAGTCTCACTCAGGAATTTCTGCATTTTATCTACTATCCCTTCTCTCACAAGCTTTGCCCTCTCGCTCATTTCTGCAGCCTGGTAACAGTATGACACTCTGTGGTAAAGCGCTGTACTGATTCTTTGCTGTTTCCTTTGCTTTGGGTAAAAACTCTCAGCATTCCCACTGTCATCATTCCAGAGCAATGCAACAAAGTGATACTCCTACATACCTTTTCATAGGCTGGGAAATACCTGCCTGTGGCCTTCTGAAGTATATTGGCAAGTTCTTTCTCTTTATCCTCAGCTGGTAAGAAGGGAAATTTCATAATAAAGGTCATAAGGTCATCTGTTCCTCCTACATACATATCGATCCTAAAAAACAACAACAACAACAACAAAAAAAAAAAACACAAACAAACAAAAAAGTTATTCTTCCAGTTAAAAAGTAAACAACAAAACACAAATCACAATCTCAGTCTCACTCATACTTTCAATATTGCTGGTGTTTCACCTGCCCCACTGCCCGGCATTAATTCTAAACAGAATTGTACAGACATTAAAAGTCTTTAACTTCAAAGAGCAAATACTGTAGATTCCTCAGCATCACTGAAGGGAAACAGATGGTACCATAAGACAATTTATCCTGAGCCCATTTAGCCATCTAGATGAACCCCCAATCTTCAGGGTTTCATCCCAAGCACAAGTGATGCTAAATAAACTACAGGCTGGTATTTTATTACAGCACTGCAAATCACTACATCAAATATATTTACATAAAAATAATCTAGTTGGAGCCAATCAGTTGCCTTCCACCCAAGAGCAGCCTGTCGCTCTCACTAGAGGCTTTGTGTGTGTCACTGAAGCACACGGGTGATTCCTTGCACATGACAGACAACAACTACTTCTAGATATGTCTAAGTTCATATACTAAAGTAAGAAGAGGAACAAGGTCACAGTACAGGGCTCTTTCCTTCAGGTCCTTCCCGTAGAGGTTGTGCTTTGCTGCTATGTAGTTGAGGATGGCTCTGGTCTGCACCATCTTCATCCCGTCGATCTCCACCATGGGCACTTGCTGAAACAGCAGGGAGCCATCTGGAGAAACAAAAACTCACACATTTCTGTACCGGAGCCAGCAAGTCCGTATCAGATCTGGCAGCGCCAGGTGCCGTTTGCTTTCATGGCAAATTTACTGCGAGCAGTCCCGAAGGACAGTGGATTAATAACCTCACTCAAAGAAGAAAAAGGAAATGACACTGACCAACTCCTCCAGCTGGCCCGTGAGGATCCCTCCCTCCCTCCTTCCCTGGGACACTGGGCTGAGGTCACTCACTGCAAGGTTGGGAGCCCCCTGCACACTCAGGGTGAGGAAACACTACAGCATTTTCCTGGGACAAGCAGTGCACTCCACTTAGTTGCGCTAATTGCTAGTTAATTATTTACTAATTGGGAAACTGTAACTGTCCTGTCAGCAAACGGTGGATGTTGTTATCACAAAGACTATGTGCTGGCAAACAAAATCAACATACTAAAGCCCTGTGGTTGTTGACCCTCTGGATTATTTTATTATCTCCTTTAATGAGAGCACAACAGATAGTGACTCTAAAACACATAAATACAGAACATCTGATCCTAAATAAATGCAAAAAAAATCCACTTCTGTTCTACTATTTGAAACTTAGTTAAAGCAATTGTCAGATTCCCAAATGTCTCCCTGACAATGAATATTAAATTAAGGCATTCAGTGAATTTGATAACCTTTTGCAAGTTGCTGAAATCCAGGGTAAGTGCGTGGGACCAGGTGAGATGCACAGAAGGAAATAAAATCTATATGGTACCTGTCCATACCAGGTGCACCAGGTGGTACCACCTCATTAGTGAGGCGCTGATGAACTCTGACAAAAGAATTTCACGTGCAGCTTGGCAAGCACTCAGGGCCCATGACATTTAACCATTTTATGGATAAGTCGCAAAAACATTTGCCATGGGCCATTCTCAGAAGTAACTGCATGCTCTTGAATCATCTAAAGCAAATTTTCATAAACAGGAGGGGCAGCAGTGGACAAAGGGAAAAACGACAACTGGAAGGCATGGGGAACACATTTAATCTTCAATTATGCCTGTCCACACTCTGGAAAAAGGAGAAAACAAACAAACAAACAACAAAAATTAACCAAACCACCAGTCTCTTGCTCCCAGCTCTAAGTTTTACTTCCCTCTCTGCTCTAAAGTCCCAAGTGCAACATCAACCACATCTTGTCCGAGGCTACAGTAAAGCCTGATGACCCTTTTGTTGAGGTTCCATGTGGTCTCACCTTGCAGGAGCTTCTCATACTGTTCCCGTGTTGTCAGGAACTGTTCTTCAAACTGGCAGAATAGGGAAGAAAAGGAAATGAGCATCTTGTCACATTGAAAAGAATAGAGAAACCTGCTCAGCATCAATCAAGGAACAGAATACACAGCGCAGCCCCTTCCATTGCAGGTCTAGGCTCTGCAGGAGGACACAAGAGGCAGAAGCACTGGTAGAACTTCTTGGTCTGTTGTATTTGGAAGCTGCAGCTGCAGGCAACTCTAGCACAAGAAAAGAAAAACCCAAAACCTGGCAACAGAACTAGAGCAAGGACAAACTATGGTAAGGATGAACTAGAGTAAGGACGGCTTAATTGGGATTGGACAGACAACTTAGTCCAACAGTCCCGCATAGTTGAGCTCAAGTAGCAATATTGACTCATACTGGACACAGGAGCTAGGGAAAGCTGTTTAATTTCCACCTTAAATACTTTCTCTTTGCTAGCTACTAGGTGACCTGCTTCAATGACAAGCCTGGAGATTAAAATCCAAAATGCTAAAACACACCTCAACACCAGCTGCACTTAACAACCAGCGAATTGACTCCATCTTGCCTCTTCCATCAAAGTAGTAGAGCTTAGGTTTTCCCGTCATGTCTTCAAACTTCTTGTCACCTAAAATAGCAACATGGAGATAACAATTTAATAGTAATTATAAAAATCTGACAGGAGTTGAAGTAGTAGTTCATAGAAAATTAAGTTATTTTAGACAAAGCATTTACGTTTTGGTTCAAAACTGATCTGATTGTTGCACAGTTAAATCACAGCAAGAATGTTTCGTGATTTTTTTCATTCTCCCCAAAACTGAAAGAACAAAAATCAAGGTGCTTTGTAGGTGACAACTGAGAAACTAGTATCGCCACTAAAAAAATTGCTAAAATCCTTCAAGAGAGGGAGAGAAAAAAAAAGTCAGTACTAGAGTTTCTACAAGTACTGCTAAAAAGCCATGTTTTAATCAAAGAGGGGAAAAGGAGTTGGGCAGGTTTCCAAGTTTGTCAGTATTTACATCACAGCATGCCAGAAGCATCTAAGAATTAATTACACACATAATTAGATGAAGTATGTGGATGTGTTTTCAAAAGCTCTCATTTTTCTTACTTATCCAAGACCACCTACTTACCTTGGATCACCACTGCTAGAAAGAACTTTGAAAGAGCAGCCAATTTTTTTCTGGAAGAATCAAGAATAAAATAGAAATATTCGGGATTGCTGTACACTTTACCTTTCTACTGGTTTCAGTTTTTCCTATTACTAATCTTTATAACTTTATAGGTTTTAAGTCACTTAAGCCCATGATGCTGCTTTGAGAGAGAAATTTTAGCTCCTGAATAGCTTTACAAGGCCTTTTTTTAGGCCTTAAAAAAAAAAAAAAACGGGCGTTTGGATCGCAGCAGGAGCTGGATTCCATGGCAGAGCCAGAGGCCAAGGGAACATCCAGTTTCACGGCATGTCCCACACAGCGCTGCCCGACAGTAACTCCTTCCCGCGACTGAGAATGTTTTCCCTCTGCAGGGACATTCTTTGTGCTTCTGATCAAGAATTTAACCCTGGGAAAAGGTCTGCTGGCACTTGAATAGTAACCGCCAGTTCACAATGTTGCAACAGTTCCTTCGTAAGCAAGGGAAAAAAATAAAAAAGCGACCTCTAAAGCCCTGGGGCGCAGGAGTGGCCCTGGCCGCGGGCAGGGCACGCACCGGCCAGGCAGCGCGGGCTGAGGCCGGCGGGGCAGCGGA